AAATTTTTTTAAAGTTTGGAAACAATTTTCAAAAAAAAACTGATTTTCACGGGGTGCAGTAAAAAGTATACTCTAGTTTTATTTTTGTATAAATATTTTTTCTAAAACTTTTGTATTTGCTTTTTGCGTTTGATTAGATTTTCAAACATTCTTTCCCCATTCAATTTGATGGGTCATGCCCCGATGATGAATTTTATTTTTTTTATTAAAAAAATAATTTAATATGTCTCAAATTTAAATTTTCCTAAAAATTTTGATCCTGCCAAAAAAATTTGGGGGGTCTTGGGTCAGGCGTTTTGAAATGCAATTGCCGCGCAATTTAGAACCGTGATTTAAATTCTTTTTCATGTAAGTTTTTTTGTAAATCGGAAAAAAAGGGGGGGAGTTACGTTAAATTTTTGACAAAAAGTCCGTTTTTTTTTTTGATTAAACATCATGCAATAAATTTTTTTTAAAAAAGGGGAACCTGCCCCTTATCGGTTGCCATTTTGTTCATTTTAAAACTTACAAATTTTAATTTTTTTTCCAGGATTTTAAATTTTTTTAATTTTTTTGGCTCTGTTCCCCTAAGCAATTTTTAGGGAAAAAAATACCATGATATCGATCCCCATCCAAGCGTTGATTTTCTCTCTAGGATTGGGGGACTCAAACTGTTGCATGGGGGGGGCTCATCTGCCCCAAAACCTACAATTTTGGGATTGACAGGGCCCCCCTCGATGAAAAAGAGCCTCATTGAAAAAAAAAAATTTTTCTTTTTTCGGGGAAATTTCGGGGGGGTCTGATTCGTTGCGTTTTCCAGCCATTTTGCTCCCCCAAATTTTTGGGGGTTTCCTTTTTTTTTTTCTTTTTTTTTGGATTTTGTGTTCTTTTTTGATTTAAATTTTTTTTTGGGGGCCAAAATTCCCCTTTGGGCTTTTTCCCTTTAAAAAATTTTCCCCCAAAAATTAAAAAAGGGTTTTGTCGAAAAACTTTTGGGCCCCCTTCCCAAAGTAAATTCTGGTTTTTGGCCCCCCCCTTTGGGGGGGGAATTTTTTTCCCTCAAAATTTTTTTTTTCCCACCCTTTTTAAATATTTTTTCTCGGGAAAGGGGGGAAAGTTTTTTCCGGCCCTTTCCTTTAACGGGGTTTTTTTTCTTTACCCACGGGGGTACAATCATTTTTTCTAGTTTTTTTTTTTCGGGGCCCCTTTTTCGTATTGCCCCTTATCATCAAGTTTTTGTTTTGTGGGGGCAAACCCCCCCTTGCACTTTTTTTCACTCGGGCCTCCCCCAAAATTTTTAAAATTAAAGGTTTTTCACAATTTTTCGATTTGGTTTTAAAAATATTGGGGATTTTTTGGGGAAGCGGGAAAAAAAAAAAAAATTTTAACCCAAAAAAAAGGGGAATTTTCCGGTTTAAAAAAAAATTTGGCCCTTAAAAAATTTAAAATTTTTTTTTAAGGGCTTTATGAAAAAAATCCCAAAAAACGTTTGGGGGGGCTTTTTGGGCCCCCCTTTAAAAAAAAAATTTTTTTTTTATTTTTTTTTTAAAATCAGGATTTATTTTTTAATAACAACCCTGTCCCATCGGGGAAAAACAAAAAATTGGGTTTTTCATAAAAAACAATTTTTAAAAAGGGGGAGGGGGGGGGGCTCGGGGGAGGCTGGCGGGGCTTTTTTGGGTTTGGGGGGGGGGCCCCAACGAGGGGGGAAATGGGGGGGGGGGGGGGGGGGGGGGGGGGCGGGGGGGCCCCGGGGTTTTCAAGTGTTCCCTCCAAAACAAACCGTTTTCCCATTACCCCAAAAAGGGCCTTTTTAAATTTGTAATTTTTGGTTAAACTTTTTACGGGCCCACGGGGCAAAAAAAAAAAAACCAAAAACTTTTAAACTTTGGGTTTGGGGAAAAAGGGGGGGACCCCCCCCCACACTTTGTACATTTTTTCAGCCGGCTTTTATAATAGCAAAAAGGTCAAAAATTAAAAAGGGGTTTCCGGGGGACCCCCAAATCGGGGGCCCCAAAAAATCATTTTTTAGATTCCCCTGTAGTGGGAGGGCCCCAACGATGTGCTTTAAAAAAGGGTTTTTATTTTTAAAAAACTAGGGTTTTTTTTAAAAACTGGGGGGGTTGGAGTGGGCCCAGAGGTAGGTTTTGGGGATTTCCCAAAACAAACAAAAAAATTTTTTACGGAAGGCTTTTTGCGTGCCCTTACTTTTAAAAAGTAGGGGATCCCGGGATTATTTAAATTTGAATTTTCCCTTTACATTGCGTTTTGTTTTTTCCCAAAACCCCATTTTAAACTTTTTTTACTATTTTTTTTTTAAAGCACCGGGCCCCCAAAAAAAAAAAAATTTTTTTTAAGGGGGCCCAAACGGGGGGGGGGACCCCCGGGGGGGGGACCGGCCCCCCAATAGGCCCGGGCCCTCGGGTTTTTTTAAATTTTAAATTTTCCCCCCTTATCTCATCCGATTTTCGGGGGGTTAAAAGGGTTTTAATTTTCTTTTAAAAAAATTTTTAAAATTTTTCTTTTTTTAAAAAAATTTACAATTTTAAGGGCAGGTTTTTGGCCAAAATTTTGGGGGACTGAAATTTAAAAAATTATTGAATCTAAAAAAAAATTTTATTTTTTTTAAACTCTAATTTTTTTTTTTTGGTATTTGGGTTTTTCGAGAAAGCTCAGGGGGACCAAACAAACGGGGGGGACCGGTGACCCGAAAAAAAAAAGGGCCTTTTTAAAAAAAATTTTTGGCGGAAAAATTTTCAAAAAAAAATCCCACCAAAACTTTTTTTTGGAATTTTGGGGGCCCCCAAAAATTTTTTTTTTTTTAAAAGGGGGGGGGGGAATTAAAATGGGAAATTTAAATTTACAAAAACCCCCCAAAAGGGTTTTCAAAAAATGCGTTTTTACGTTGTTTTTCTGAAAATTTTAAATAAAAAAAAATTTTTTGTAAAACCCCTTTTGGGAATTCTTTTTTTTTTGGGGGGCGAAATCTGTTTCGAAACTTTTAAACAAAAAATTTAAAGTTAGGGGGGCGATTTTTTTTTTCCATTTTTTTTTGGGGTAAAAACTTCTATCTCAAAAACCAAAAATTTTTTCCCCCTAAAATTTGGGGGGTGGCCCCAAATTTCCTCCATTTTTTTTGGGGGGGATTTAATTTTCCTTTTTTTCCAAAAATAAAAAAGGGTCACATTTCCCGGGCCCTTTCTGGAAAAAAACGACTTGAAGGAAAACCCCGCTTTAAAGATTTCCGGGGGCGGGGGGAAAGGGCCCCGCGCAAAAGGGGTTTTTTTTTGGCCTGTTTTTGGCCGCCGCTTGACCCCCTTCAAAGGGGGAAAAATTTCTTTAAAAATTAAATGCCGCCAAAAACCCGGGGAGGGGCCGGTTTTTTCTACTTCTAAACACTGTTTCTTAATTTCCCTTTAAAAGGGATGGTTAAAACCAAAATTTTTTGTTTTCCTAATTTAAAAACCCCGCAAAAATTTGGATAAAATAAAATTTTAAAATTAAAAAACCCCAAAACCCACACCCCAAATTTTTTGGGGCCCAGTTGTTTTGGGGCCCCAATTGGGGGGGAAAAAATCTTTTTAAAAACCCGTGATTAAAAAGGGGGGGTTTTGTTTTTAGTTTTCACTTTTCGGCGTAAAAAAAAAAAAAAAAAAAATTAGGGGAAAAAACCCGGCCCCATATAGAAAAATTTTTTATTTTTTGGGGGCTTTTTCTGTTTTTATTTGGTTTTAAAAAAAGGGACACCCTTTTTTCAAATTTAAAAAAAGGGTTGTTTAAAAAATATCAAAAGGTTTTTGGGGTTGGGAGGGGAATTCGTTTTTTTCCTAGGCGGGGCCCCCCTATTTCCCGGGAAAGTTTTAACTTTTTTTTGTTTTTGGGGAAACCCTTATTTTTTTTTATGGGTTGGGCCCTTTTTTTTTTTAAGGGGCTTCCCCCAGGTTTTTTTTTTTTAAATGTAAACCCCCACCCCTTTGGGATTTTAAATGTTTTTATTTATCGGACCCCGGGGGGCCCAAAATTGGGTTTCCCTTTTCCCGAAGGGGGGAAAAAACAAAAACCTTTTTTCCGGGGGAAATTTTTTCCCCTTTTGCTTTTTGTTAATCCGTTTTAAATTTAAAAAAAAATTATCGTTTTCGTTTTTTTTGGTTTAAAAAAAAAATTTCCAATTTTTTTTTTTTTTACAAAAAAATGGGCCCCCAAACAAAAAATTTCCACCCGGGGCCCCTTTTCCAAGGGTTCAAGGGGTCTAAAAAAAAACCCCCCCCTTGGGGGCCCAAAGGGGGGAGGAAAAACTTAATCCAGGTTTTTTGTATTTTTGGGAAAAAAATTTTTTTTTTTTCTTTTTTAAAAAACACAGAAAAAAAAAAATTTAATTTTTTTTTTTATTTTTGGGAATTTTGGGGGGAAAGGTTAAAAAATTTTTCACGGGGCGGGGAATTTTTTGCTGAAAAAACCCCTAAAGGGCCACCAAGTAAAAAAGGGAGTTTTTTATAATGGGGGCGTCTCTGTCCCCCGAAAACAAAAAACCCAAAAAAAATTTTTAAATCTTAAGGGAAAATTTTTTAAAATTTTCTTTCGGGAATAAAGGGGAAGGGGGCCCATTTTTTTTTACGGGTTTTGGGGCCCTTTGGGGTTCCGGTTTTCGGGGGGGCCCCCCGTGCTGTTTTAAGGTTTACTGGTTTTTTTGGGGGTTTTCGCTTTGTGTTCCTGAACCCAGGGGGTTTTCTGGAAATAGAAGGGGAAAAAACTGTGTATTAGTATTACGGTACTTACTGTGTAAGTATTACGGTAAGTAAGTATAACGGTACGACAATCTAGAATCGCTCATATTCATAACCTTAAAACTATCACAACTACAAGACTTGGGGTTGCCCTCGATGTTGACCATTAATTTAAGTAATCTTGGCAAAGGGCCTAAGCACATAATTAGTTAATGAAAGTGGGAGTAGTGTTTTAACTTACAGAAGTAGGGGTGGGACTAATTAGTTAATAAAAGTGGGAGTAGTGTTTTAACTTACAGAAGTAGGGGTGGGACTGGGCTTCTTTGGCGGTGAGTCTATCGTTGTGGTCGTATCTTAATAATTTATCTAAGTAGTCGAGCGCTTCGGGGCTCACTAAATGTTGATTATCTTGACACACAAATCGTTCCCACCGCTTTTTAGAGTGCCTGAGAAGATATTATCAGATCTGGGTAATCGTGAAAACAATGGAGATGTAATCAATGAAGCCTTTACTTCAACGTGTACAGCAGGGTGTCATAATTATTGGCGCGTAGACAATTTTGCGTGAAATTTTAGCTTACCCAAGCTTTTAGAAACGATCATTACTTGACTTCTGAGGGTCAGTTTCCTATGGAGTCTTAATCATTCGAGAGATAATCCTAAATTATGGGTTTTGAGGTACATCAATACAAAATTCTGAAATTCTAAAAAAAGTTCAGACGATTGTCTACAGACCAGTTTTTGAATTTTGTAATTTCGATATTCAGAAGTAAAGTTATGACCCGTCGAAAAATATTGATTTCATCATAAAATACACATAAAATTTCAAACACGCCAATAATTCTGACACCCTGCTGTAGCCTTCTTCTGGTACTACTGGTCTTTTCAAGTTTTTGATAGGAAAGAAGTCTTATTACCTTCCAAGCAGCTCGTTGTAGCGTGGATCAAGATCAACGTTATATTTCTGGACATACTCGTAGAGTTCAGCAGTGCCTAGCACTTTCCCAATACGCACCAGTTGATCGTAATTGTCGTGACCGTGGAAGAATGGTTCTTTTCGGAAAATCTGAAGTTGTAAGAGGAATTTATTAAAAGAAATAAGAAGCTTTTGCGATGATTTTAAGGGGATTATATCCTTAACCCAGCTCCTGCTAGGGAGATCTTAGATCTTAAGATACATCATGCTACAGCCTGCAACGATATACTACAAACTAATAACTATATGCTACAAATGTTGCGGCATTCCAACGACAATTATAAAATAACATCTTCATGGATTCAGTAAGGCTGGTCTCACATGCACAGTAAGCAGATAAATTGGGCGGTAAATAATCAGGGTGATCACAAAAAATAAATGGCTGAGTGTGACTGCTATTTCAAGCGATCAGAGGGAGCCGAACTTTAACAACATTGTAAACTGTTCATAACAGGCAAACTCAATCTTGTTGTCAGATATGTAGCATTCAATAGAAAAGTCCGCGCTTTTCACGCACGCACATTTCATGATGATTTAGAATTTACGACGTAGCGTTTTTAATTTTAACCCATCTACCGCTAGCATGAAAATTCACGTTCGCGCGCAGCGCTTTAGTCACTAGCCGCTTTCTCTAAAAATGCGACCGAAAAATTGCCCTACAAATGTAGTTGGAATTGGACGCCTAGCAACAAGTTATATTAATTAAACTCACCATACTGGCAAACATACACCCGTAGCTCCACATATCCAATGAATAATCGTATTCCTGAAAGTTTCCCGATAATATTGTGACGAGTAAACCGTATGGCAAAAAAGACATGCCCACAAACGATGGACGATTCACGATTGCATAACAAAAGAGATCTTGTTTAACATTTAAACATGGGTGCCAATCTAAAGTTAAAAGTCAAACCTGGTAATCTATGAGTAATTCGGGTCCTTTGAAGTAACGGCTGGCCACCCTGACATTATACGGTTGTCCGGGATGATAAAACTCGGCCAGACCCCAATCTATCAGTCGAAGTTGTCGTTTCTCGTGGTCGATCATAACGTTATGAGGCTTCACATCTCTGAATTATGGGATTACATTTATATATTTTATCGCACATTACGATCATATTACAGCGCCGCATATAATATTAAATTTACAACTCACATTTTCTTGAGATCTTAGATCATAAATACATGATATTAGATCATTCATTGCACACACAGAATGTTACATGAAATTAGTAAGTTTTGATTATACAGCTGTGTAAAGGTGTCACATCTGATTAAATGAAATACGATGCTGTGAGGACTGAGAGACACACCTGTGCATTATGCCCATACTGTGGCAAAAATCGAGGGCCTTTAACAGTTCATACATGTAATATCTGATATCATAGTCCGTTAGAGTCTGATACAATTGCTGAAAATTGTCGAGTTTAGTTAAAAATTAGAATTAACTATTGTTGGAACAAAGACTGTTTTGACACACGTTAGAGCCACTTGCATGTCTGCACGCTGGTTATCATATCATAGTCGCTGTCACGTGTCAAATGTTATTAAATTCAAATACACCTTCATCAAACTAAAACATGGCAAAACATCATAATATTACACATAATATAAATATAAACCTTGAAGTCTCGGTTGTTAACATATTCGAATATAAGGGCAGGGGTACGGGCGACAGGGTCTTTAACCACATCAAGTAGCGTTATGATGTTGGGACCATTCCGTAAATTCTCCAGAATCTTTATCTCTCGCTTTATCTTCTTCCTTTTAACTGGCTGCAAGTTTATTATTGTGTCAGATATTATGTGGATTATGATTGGTACAAAACTAGTGTGCTAGACATGAAAGTGAAATAAAGACAACATTATAAAGCACGAAAATGTTTACCTTTAGAATCTTGACGACCACTTTTTTGTTAGGAGTGCGAATATCGACCCCCTCAAATACTTCACTGTATTTTCCTCGACCTAGCTTTCTTACCAGTTGGTAGTTTTCTTGGTCACTGCAGGATATGGTATTTAAACATCACAATTATCATTTTTACCAACGTAAATTTGTACAACACAAAAAGCGCAATAGTATTTCATCGTTTGAAGTCTAAACTTAAATTTGCATTGTGCCTCAATTTCAGGAGGATGTACATTGTACGACGTACGTGCATAAAATATCTATTTCCATAACACCTAAAAATGGCTATATTATTAATATCCATTCTTTGGTGTTATGGAAATAGATATTTTATATACGGATATTTTGGGGATGGCAGTATGGGAGTTGTAGATTTATACCATTTAAAAAAAGCGGCGAATACACAATCGCTGAGAAATCAGGAAGATGCATTAACATTTAACAGACGATATTAAGAGACAAAAGTCAGATGAAAGATGTTTGTTGTATTTTTGTGTCTGATAGCATTCCAGCCCGTTGTCACGTTAGACATTTTATGTTTTAAAATGTTGTTATAATCCACAATCGTAACGTTATGTTAGCCTTAATCCATACATTTATTTCCCAAGATCAGACAGCCACGGAGTTATATAAATTTTCAGGGGTTGTGGGTACCAATGCGATGTAGCCTAGCTTGTGAAATTAAAGGCATAATTTCCATCGAATATCCTATGTAGTATGTAATATATAATATGCATATTATATCTTTCTGAATAATATTTATCGAATTGCGTTTTGGGATTTACCTTCACACAGTATGCAACAAGTTATAACGGAAGTAAGAACACTGCTAAATCTCAATCTGTTTACTGTCTAAAGCCATCAGGCTTGATGAACGAAAGAATTTTCTACTTCTTAGCAATGCTGAAGACATGCAGGCGACGGATACATGGAATAAACTTAAATACTTAACTTGTAAATTAATGTATTTAGTCCAGACATGACACATAATTAGTTAAGAGTTTTAAACTCGGCCTAGTTTTACTGCAGACTGGGTAGAAGTTAAGTCCAGGGCTATCTAGATACTGCCCACGTACACACTCAAAATATCTTGTCACTTTTTGAAGCGAACTCTAAGGTACATTTTGCCTTTCTATCCACAAAAACATCTTAAGCTGCCGAAAGGCGAAATCAAAACATTGAAATAAGTTAGCCAACATAATGTGTTTAAAAAATATGCAAGTTCTCCGAAGCCATAAATGTAGGCGTGGCTAGTTACACCCTTTTTTCTGGGCATACTCTGTAACTCTAGTTCTAGAAGTAAAAATATAGAGACATTCTAATTTTTGTAGGCAAGAGATAAGTAGGCAAGCGATAAAAGGTACGCTGTATCCGGCGAAAGCTTATTTCTTACGATTAAACGATGTTCGCCCAAAGATCCAAGAGCCTAAGTGTTTACAGTTTGCTGAGAGTCGAGACAGAAATAAACTGTATAGCTTTGGTTCCTTAATATTTACGGCCAAATATTTCATCCAATTTAAAATATCATTAAACCCCGGTCCGTCTCACCCCACCCCCACCCGCATCCAGCCCCGACCAGGACTTACCCCCAATCAGTCTGATGGTTCTCGTAGTCCCAGTAGTCACGTGGGTTGTTCTTGTTCACATCCGCGTACACTCGTGCTCTTGAGGTCCCGTTCATCTGTGAGTTGGATATCACCTGAAAAACAACTCATGTCAAAACTCGATTTGTTACAATTAAGTATCTTATTAGTGACCAATTAGTTACTAATGATAGGTTATTTATACCGCAGCTATCCGTATAAACCCGACTTGGATGGAGGTTATAGTTTCTGAAGAATGGAAATCAGTTCATTACCAGGAGAAGCTTCATTAATACTTGGTTCCGGTAGTTAGATACAAGAAGAATGTATTTGAGTTATGCTCTGGTCGTTACTGATAAGCGGTGTGTACACGGTTTGAGACAATGCAATCAAATATCAACACAATGCAATCAAATATCTCATAAATATCGTAAATTTGCCAAATCTTCATTAAGATGATTCAATGGATAATATTATGCACTAACGAGTAGTGGTTTCTACGGAAGATGTAAAAGAGCAATACACGCGTAAAGGGAGAGTAAGTCAAGACGTGTGTAAGTACACTTGTTGGATATTGGTGTAGGGAGTACTAGAGATAAGACACAGATATTATACAAGTTCAAATTTAGTGAAGTACTGTGGCTTTAAGATACATATTAGGGTGTAAACCGTACGTGGGAATCAGAGAAAGTGCTCTGAGACATTCGAGTGTGGTTACTGTTACAGCTGAGATATTTGAGTGTGGTTACTGTTACAGCTGAGATATTTGAGTGTGGTTACTGTTACAGCTGAGATATTCGAGTGTGGTTACTGTTACAGCTGAGATATTTGAGTGTGGTTACTGTTACAGCTGAGATATTTGAGTGTGGTTACTGTTACAGCTGAGATATTCGAGTGTGGTTACTGTTACAGCTGAGATATTTGAGTGTGGTTACTGTTACAGCTGAATTATTTGAGTGTGGTTACTGTTACAGCTGAGATATTTTAGTGTGGTTACTGTTACAGCTGTAAATATTTGAGTGTGGTTACTGTTATAGCTGAGATATTCGAGTGTGGTTACTGTTACAGCTGAGATATTTGAGTGTGGTTACTGTTACAGCTGAGATATTTGAGTGTGGTTACTGTTATAGCTGAGATATTTGAGTGTGGTTACTGTTACAGCTGAGATATTTGAGTGTGGTTACTGTTATAGCTGAGATATTTGAGTGTGGTTACTGTTACAGCTGAGATATTTGAGTGTGGTTACTGTTACAGCTGAGATATTTGAGTGTGGTTACTGTTACAGCTGAGATATTCGAGTGTGGTTACTGTTACAGCTGTAAATATTTGAGTGTGGTTACTGTTACAGCTGAGATATTTTAGTGTGGTTACTGTTACAGCTGAGATATTTACACTTGTGCTACTGTTACAGCCTTAAGCGGTTTGGGAGGAATATATCGACGTGGCTTGTACATTTTAAAGTTATTTAACAGAAGAAGCATCTATATATATTAACTATTAAGTCCCTTTTTTATAATTAAGACTTGATCCAGAGATACAGCTACGTTCTATCACGAGATTCAAATCGACACCTGTGTCCTGCCTGTAAAGTATAAGTCTTGCTCAAGGTGATTACAGTCACATACCTAAAAACTAAAAACAAATATTTGTTTCCGAAAATGAGATATTATGTATATTTTCACAGGGCTTTGTCACATAATATTATGCAAGTCAAAAGGGAGGACAGTTAAAAATATGCTGTTCAAGCTTTAATACACCCTTATATCGATTTTTGATAGGCATATTTGTCATGGGAGTTGAATTAATCTTCCCTTCACTATGCAATGAATAGGCCTCATAATGAACGACACATCACTACTGAGATCACTAAGAATGATGATTAATCAAGATACGGATCACTCTATTGATCACAATAATAAAATAGTGTGAGAAAAGCTAATATACCGTTGAGGACCGTTCAGTTGGTTTCACGCAATCCAGGGACCCTTCCAGCACCTTCATGTCCAGCATTATAGCTCCAATATTTCCAACGCTCTCAACTGTACTACACACGGCCAGATAAGACAGTACCAGACGATTTAAGAGTAAGAGATAAGATCACCAAACCGATAGAAACTACAGCAAATGACGAAGAATAGGCCGTACTAAAGCTACTGCCAGGGGTTGCTATGATACGATACGAGCGGAGAGCAAGGAAGTTACAAGACTACACTTGTACACCACATGAGTTGCAGAGAGCTCGTGTCTTATTACTGGAACCCAGACTGGTCGGGAGAACACGGCGCAGAAAGATATCAGACTAGAAATTAAAGGATCTTATGTAATAACACGGGAGAGACAACAAGAATGGCACTCTCTCTCTCTCTCTCTCTCTCTCTCTCTCTCTCTCTCTCTCTCTCTCTCTCTCTCTCTCTCTCTCTCTCTCTCTCTCTCTCTCTCTCTCTCTCTCTCTCTCTCTCTCTGAATACACACTGGGTGAGTCTCACCAGCATTTCCTGCATCTTCTATTATGTTGTGCAGTAGAAAGGGAGGCAGATGATGAGCTAGTACCTGAGCTACCTGGCATAATGTATCATAGTTAACTAGCTCTAATCGCCCTATATATATCCGGCTTATCATCATTCATCAACCTCGTTCAAGCTGGTAGTTGGACCAAAATAACTAAGCCGAGTCATGGGAAGTAGTATCTGGGTAGTTTGATTTGTGTACTGATTACAGCTGTTATTTTCTCCTGTTTCAGCCCAGTTGCAGCCTCTGTATCAGTAAACTTATTTGTAGTGCTATGTGCTGGGCTGGACACTGTTTAAACTTATAATCGATGTCAGGTTTGTTGAATTACAGTGCTTACTTAAATTTTGTGTCGATCCAAGTATCCGGTGTAACCTGGAGCCTAATGAGATGTGGTAGCACCACGTGACACCTGTTTAGGGTAGTGTTACCATATAAGGGAGTGTTTCTGTGGAAACGTGACCTTATATGGTAACACTACCCGCCACCATTATAATATGGAGTTCTCATGGCTTCTGAGATTGATTTGTCGAACTGTCAATTCAAAACTTCGACCAGTAGATATTCTAGTAACTAGTTATTGTACAAGTTTAACGGTTCAACCGGAAAAAGGACAGAAGCATGGAATGGGAATATTTTTCCGACAGTACGGTTTCTTGAAGCTACAAAGTTGGGATTATTTAGCTGTGTTTCGTACAATGTGCAGAGTTCTATAGTTATTACTAATTCTTCGCTGTAAATGTGTGGAATGTCTGGAATGTAGTCGTGAATTTGCAGCCAAATTCAGAGGGTGTAAGGGTAAAGGTATGCGGCTTGTCGGGACAGCTTTACACTACATAGTTCAGCGGAAATAATATGTAATATGTATGTAATATGTATGTAATAATATATGTATGTAACGGCCCTTAAACAGATTTTAAAGGTTCTCTAACCACGCTTAAAGGAGGCGGAGAAGGCGGAGGAGGCGTTATTGTGATCTCAGGAATTCTCATCCCAACATGAACCATGGTGTTCCAAACAAACGCGGCGCAAATCAGGGTCACACAAGACAATTACACAAGATACAGTGAGAGTGAGAGGTAGCATGCACAACGAATGAGGAGTTTTCCAAGCAAACAATGTCATTACAGCGCCAGGGGAGCACGGTGGCAGCCACAAAATGTACTCTCTGTAACGTGTACATCTTTGGTATATAATAACGTATACTATATCATATACTATATTACATACTACAACGTGTAATGTCTCCTGTGCATTCACGCTAACATGGTAAGTGGTGCTAAGGAGCAGCTACAGTCTACACTATATGTCACACGATTGGAAACTGTGGGAACTTTGTTGCTACAGTCTACACTATATATGTCACAAGATTGGAAACTGTGGGAACTTTGTTAAGGAGCAGCTACAGTCTACGCTATATGTCACACGATTGG